CTAACAGATTCAGCGCCTTGGCCTCGGCGGCGGCGTCATGGACGCACCGCCTCGTCGTCCTCGCCGAGGTCCATCGCCGTCGCTGAAGAGTCTGCTCCATGGGGCCGTGGCTCTTGGAGTCCTTCGAGGGGCCAAAGCACCTCCAGCTGTAGTGCGTGAGCGTGGCGTTCTGGAAGCCCGGCTGCTCGCGCACTGAAAGTGAGCGGCTCCTGGAAGCCACGCGTCTCCATGCCCAGGCGCGCGCTGTCTGGCGCCGCTGCAGCTTCGGCGCCGGCGAGAAGTCCCAGGGCGACGCAGCTCTTGAGCATGGCGAATGATTCGCGAACGACCGACTCATGCTGGCCCTTAATCGTTCGAAACGGCAGCGCGACACTCTGCTGGGGAAGGCGCAGCTGCGCGTCGCCTCGCCACCGCGCGCCCAGCTCACCTGCGCGGAGGAGTGCGTCGCGCGCGGCCGTCAACGCCGACGCTGCCCCCCGCTGACCGAAGGTCGTGAAGGCCCCTGCGCCGGCCGCCACTGCGAGGGGTCTGATGGGCTGCGCGCGATCAGCCGACCCCTGCCTCGGCCGCGCCCTGGGCACCTGCTCGCTCGCAGAAGGGCACGCGCGGGCGAAAATATTGATGCGACATGACGACGATAGCGTTGCCGTTCACCTCGGACGACGAGCCGCCCTGCCGCCAGCGGCCCTCGATAAGGGCAGACAGCTCGGCATCGACCTGAGCTGGCGTCTCGGGCTGTCGCCGCCCAGAACTCGAAGACATCCGCGGCTGCCGCCTTGCTGCGCTTCCGCGTGAGAGAGGTGGCCATCGGCTCGCAGCGGCCGCCGTCGCGCCGCCGCCCGCCGCGCCGCTGCTTTTGCAGACGATCGCTCGACTCTGGCAGCTGCCGAAACTCCACCTCGATGGCGCATGTGCTGGCCACTCGTCCGCGCCGCAGCAGCGGCCGGACACTTCTCGCCCGCTGCAAGCAAGGCGTCGAGCCAGCGAAGACCACGCCGCAGCGCCCGTCGATGACAAAGGCGCGGTTACAGAGGCACCGTCGCCCAGAAGCGGCGGCTGATGTCGCTCCAGCCGGAGCCAGCCGGAAAAGGCGAAGATGGCCTGGACGCGGAACGCAATACCAACGGGAGACTCGACGATGACGTCTCGCCCTGCTGACATTCCGCTGCCCTCGCACCTCCATGGACATTTCGCCGATTAAACCCATGAGAGCACCGACCCCTCTGGGGCACGTAGTCCAGCTCCCCTCACGCGTCGCGCCCCGCTTGAGGCTGCCGTCCCGGCACTGGCTGGCGCGCTGACTGCACGTGGCGGCGGTCCAAAACTACGCAGCTGCCTACGGCGCGCACTCGAGTTAAACGACGTCGAGAGGACGGCGGCCCCCGATGATCCACCTGGCGGCGCGCAGAAAGCCACGGCCGGAAAAGGTGGCGGAAAGGGGGATCCAAGCCAGACTTCGCCCCTGTCGCACGTCGGCCATGGCGCGCTGGCCAAAGTGCGGGCCGCGGGCGCCAGCTCGGCCTCGAGCATCTCCGCCCCGTGCGGAGTGCCTGGCGCGGTCGCGCGCCAGCGCCGGAATGATCGGCCCAGAGGCAGGCGGCCCGCCTGCTGGCGAGATTGCCGCTCAAAATTGCGCCACTGGCCCCGCGCAGGAAAGGCCGGGCCGCTGGGGCGCCCCCCCGCCCATGCTGCACCACGCCCCCTGACGGCGGCGCGCTCGCCGGGAGGCCGGGGGCGCGGGCGCGCGACGACACCGGTTTCCCGAGCGAGACTTGCGTCCTCGAATTGAGCTCAGGCAAGCAAAGTGTCGTATCAGATGGTCTTACCAGTCCCAGCGGTCTGGTGGGCCTGCCCGCACCCTTGGCCGCCGCTCTTGGCTCGCTCGAACCCGAGCCCCACAACGCGAAAGCCGGGGACAGATGGGGCTCTGCTGCGGTCGCCTCGACGCGGCCCACCTCGCCGCGGATGCCAGCGCTCGCCTTCGCGAGCTCGAGCCCCCCTCGCCTGGCCTTGCCGAGAGTCGCGCTGGCCTCCCGTCCGTGGCGGACCTGCCAAACCTCGCCTCGCGCCGCGCTGAGGCGCCACCAAATCCCGCGCGACTGTCGAGCGCAGACTCGCCGAGGCCGCAGTTGCCGATGCGGGACTGGGCCCACTGCAGCTACAGCCCCTGGCCACGTTCACCGACGAGGGCCAGGTCAGCCTCGGCGAGCGCCGCGCGCGGCTGCCGCGCTGCTGGCCGCTCGAATCCGACGGGCCCCAAAAAGTCTGACCGTAGGATGGGCAGCGCGCCCGAGGTGTCGAAACCGCCCTGCAAGTTGCGCTGGCAGCTGACGAAAAAGGGCCCTGTCGATGGTGAGCCTGAGTCAACCGCTGGGCGCGCCCTCGGCCAGGCACCTCGGGGGCGCATGCGGGGAGCTCGCCGCCCCCGGCCTTGAGGGCTCAGTCGTGGGGAAGTGCCATCGCCAAGCTCAGCTTCGCGATCGTCGCGCCGATCCTGGACCACTCTCGCTTAGACGCGACCTGCGCAGCGCGGGGCCCCCCTCGGCCACTGCGACCTGGTGGGCAGCGCGAACGTCCGATCAGGCCCACCCATAGCCCTGGGCGCCCACAGCGCCTTTCGGTCGGGCGCGTCCCCCTGCGGGCGGATTTGGGGCGAAACATGAAACAATACCCCAAGCATGATCAAACATATTCATCATAATCAAGAGATCGTCCCCAGGCTATGCTTTATATTGTTGTTGGACATTCCTCCTGTAAAAAGACAAGCCCAACTTAACGGCGCCCATGGCCCCTACAGCGCAGCCGCTCCCTTGGCTGGGGGGGGGGGCGAGCGCGGGGGGTGCGTGCCCAGCGAGGGCGCGCGCGCGCCCGCGACGCCTTCACCCCGCTGTAGGAGACATTGTTCGGGGGAAGTCAACGCCCCAGTCCAGCATCGCGATGGGCAGCGCCATCCTGGTCATAGTACTCGCGGATCTGGTTCGCAACCTGCAACGCGCTAGCGGGGCACGTGGTGGTGGCGGTTCGGAGCGCAGCGAAAGCGGGACCCCGCATGGGCCCGCGGGCGCTGGCAACTGAGGCTGCCCACGACAAAATGCCCTCCCCTCTGAAGGGGCCGGCCCCAGGACACACAAACAAATACACACAAATCAAAGAAAGAGCGTGTTCTACCGCTGCTGGCGGAAAACCGGGGGGGGTCACTACCGGTTCGAACCCCTGCTCCGGAAAACCGGAAAACCCCCCTCACCCCCTCCGGGGGGGGTCACTACCCCCCCCCCCCCCCCCTCCGGAAAACCGGGGGGGGTCACCCGGTTCGAACCCCTCCCCCCCCCCCCCCAGCTCATCATGAAAAGGGGGGGGGGTCACTACCGGTTCGAACCCCCCCCCCCCCTCGAAAACCGAGTGGGGGTGCGGACAGTGGTGGGGACGGTGTTGGTGGGGACAGTGGTGAGGGGACAGCGGGACAGTGGTGGGGACAGCGGGGGGACAGTGGGACAGTGGTGGGGACGGTAGTGGTGGGGACAGTGGTGGGGACAATGGTGGGAACAGGGGGGACAGTGGACAGTGGTGGGAACGGTGGTGGTGGGGACAATGGTGTGGGGACACAGTGGTGTGGGGACAATGGGAATGAGGTGGAAACACTGGGACAGTGGAGGGTGCAATGGTGGTGGGGACACTGGTAAAGGCGGTGGCGAGGACGGCGGTGGGACAATGGGACAGAGGTACAGTGGGGACTGTGGTGGGGACAGTGCATGCGGACAGTGGTGGAAACAGTGGGACAGCTCAGTGGGACAGCGGAGGAGTCAGTGGGACAGTGGGGACAGCGGGGATAGGCAGTGGTTGGGTCCGTGGAGACAGTGGGGAGAGTGGAACCGTGGTGGGAACAGTTGTGGGAACAGTGGGGACAGTGCGACAGTGGCGGGGGCATTGGTGGGGACAATAGGGACGGTGGTGGAACCAGTGGGGACAGTGGTGGTGAGGACAGTGGTGCTGGGAACAACAGTGGGGGATGTGATGCGAGCGGTGGTAGGGACCGGGAGTCGTTTGCTGGCGGTGCGTGGGGGGGGGGGGGGGTCGAACCGGTAGTGACCCCCCTCCGGTTTTCGAGGGGGGGGGGGGTTCCAACCGGTAGTGACCCCCCCGGTTTTCCGGATCCGGAGGGGGGGGGGGGGGGGAGGAGGGGTTCGAACCCCCGGCTTTCGAGGGGGAGGGGGGGGGGAGGGGTTAGGGGAGGGGTTTTGCCGGGGGGAAGGGGGGGGGGGGTCCGGCAGGGGGGGGGATTTTCGGAGGGGGGGGGGGGGGACCCCCGGGCTCCGGAGGAAAAGGTTGGCAATTTTCCACAGTGAAGCGGCGGTGGATCACGCTCTCTCGAATCAAAGGATCCCCCCATATGTTCCCATATTTCATCGGTTTTTGTCTTTCCCCCGCTTCCCATATTTTCCAATTTTTGGGGGAATCGACGATTAATTGTGTCGGTGTATTTTTCCCCTCCTGAAAGCTGCCCCCCCCTCCTCCCCGAGCGGTAATGTTGCCGATCACGCCCGGCTCAATCTTCGGGCCCAGCTGCCAGACAGCTCTGACCTTCTCGGAGCACTGGGCGCCGGGAAACAGTAGCAGCAACACCTCGCGAAATCTCGCGAAACTGGGCGCGGGGCATGATGCGTCGCGCAGCCGACGGACACCCCGCCCGACTGCCCCTGGCCCCCCGTGCTCGACCCCTGGATTGGCGAACTTGCTGGAGGAGTCCGACTCGACCCAATGCAAGTACTGCTGTCGGCGCCTGGCTGCATGAAGACGCCGGCCGCTTCGGCGATCCTGTCCAGGAGGCTGCTGCCGAGCGCCTGGGCAAGCGCGCGGACGGCCCGAATCGGGCGAGCCACAAAGAGCGCGGCGATGCGGTGCTGCGCGACACCCGAGGCGAGCAGGCCGCCTCCGCGCAGGTCGACGAGCTGCGCGAACTGACCCCCCAGGTGCGCCAAGCTGGTCCCGAAGCAGCCGGCGGGCTACCAGCGGGCGACCCGGTTGTCGACACCCTTGCAAAGTTCTCGCCAATCCGAACACGCGTTCTCGCTCTCTCCGCCGTCGTCGAGGCCCCCCTTGGGGAAACCCGAAATCACTGATATCGCTACGTACTCACCAGACCTTCCCGGAGTGCGTCCCGACAAAGATTTCAAAGTGAATCTAGCGGTGACGACGAGGTCCTCCCGGGAAACCGAAAAAAACGAAAAACGAAAGAAGGGTAGAAGTATGGGTATTTTGTCCCCCTCCGACTCTTGCAGCTCGCCTGGCGGCCGCACGGCGCTTCTGGCCGTCTGTCGCTCCGGCGCCCTCGCCCGCCGCTTCGCGCCCAGCTCCGCCACGCGCAGATCCGGGCCGGGGCCACTTGCGACCGCGGCGAGACCCTCGAGCTCGGCATCGCCCGGGATGGGCTCCCCCGCTAGAGGGGGCCACGTGCAAACCCTACCCCTGCCCCCCCACGATTTCGGAGGGCGATGGTGGGGTTCACTTCGCTCGGGAGCTGACGACAGAAGGAGGAGGAGGACGAGGAGGAGGAGGAGGAGGAGGAGGAGGAGGAGGAGGAGGAGGAGGAGGAGGAGGAGGAGGAGGATGGAGGAGGAGGAGGAGGAGGAGGAGGAGGAGGAGGAGGAGGAGGAGGAGGAGGAGGAGGAGGAGGAGGAGGAGGAGGAGGAGGGAGGAGGCGCCCCCCTGGCCAGGGCGGGCGCCGCCGGACCCCAAAGGGCCTCCCGCCGAATCCGCTTCCGACGAGGCCTCGGCGCAGGCGACTGCACGGGCACCTCCTCGGCGCAGGTCGGCGTGCGGAACCCTCGTGCGTGGAGCCTCGGGGCGCCATGGCCAGCGCGCCCGCCAGGCGCCGACGGGCCCTCGGTGGAGCTCCTTATAAAGGGGTTGCGAAGCGTGTGAGGGGTGTACCGAAGCAGATTCGCGCGGAGGGCGCAGACGATGTGGCAGGAGGGAGGAGGGAGGGGGAGGAGGCGGCGAGGTGAGATACGTGGGGCGCTCTCGTCAAAACGAGGGCCCAACACCACACAACGAAACTGATCCTTTTCGCGCTCGACGCCCCGCGAATCTGCAAACTGCCGCTCGTCAAAATGCTCGATGGCGGCGCCCGCATTGAGCAGGGACCGTCCGCCCCGGCATTCCTGCAGTCCTACCACGATCTGTTCCTAGAGCCCACAAGCGTTCTAAGAACAAAACCAATGGTTTTAGAACACAAGCCCGATGTGATAAAACAAGACAGCCCCGACCAAAAATGTTCTGATAAAGTGTCGTGGAAATATTATAAGGTGTTTACACAATTTTTTGGTTGGACTACAAGCGCGCCAGGACGCTTCGCCTCTGCTTGGCCGCAGGCGCCAGTGCTCAACAATGATCGGGCACAAGTACAGAAACGAAGGATGGAAGAGGGTCCCCGCAGGCCGGCCACATGGTTGCCCCACGGCAACAGCGCACCCGCTGAAGTACGGGTTGCGGGCACCGATGTGGCTACCTTTGCAGAACCGGCCGCCATCGTCCTGCAGGTGCGGCTTCGCGACCTCGAGCATCTCCGCTCCCTGAGCCTGCCCGCGATCGTCGCAAACCCGAGCCAGGGTGGCCCACCCTGCCATGAGAGGCATGCCGCTGCCGAGGTAGTCATTCAGCTCCGCATCCACCTACGCGCCGCTTCCTTGATGCAGCACGGACACGACACTGCAGGCGAGGGCACACAACAACAACATCACCCTGAGCGAGGTCGTCCTCGCCCTCAGCCCAGGCAAGCACGCCACAGCATTTGAAATGCAGGCCAAGTCTGCCAGTCGGGCGGGGTCGACTGGACTTATGGCCGCCGTTGCTGGCTTGCTCGAGCCAGGGATGCTACAGACGATAGACGTCAACTCTCGAGCGGACCAGCACAGACCCGTGAAACAGTACCATGTGCGCATGTGTATACACCTATACAAATAGAGAGAGAGAGAGAGAAAGAGAGAGAGAGAGAGAGAGAGAGAAAAAAATAAAGAAAGAGAGAGAGAGAGAGAGAGAGACACACAGACATCGCCGACAGACTGGCGATAGGCCCCCGATCGCGAGTCCGCACGCTCATGGGAGGGGTGGGCTATCGGGCCCCTGTCAAGCGACGAGTGGGCGACAGGGGGGGGGGTCGACGCGCTCCGCCCTGCGCCTGTCCGCCCCTAATTGGCGGTGCCCCCCGAGGTGATCCCCCTGCAGTTGGGAACATGTGCACCCTGCAGTGCTTCAAGGCCGGGGAGAAGCAAGGCCACCGATGCGCGGCTGGCCGAGATGTCGGACGCACAGGCCCCCCGCGTCTGCAGTTGGGAACATGTGCGCCCTGCAGTGCTTCAAGGCCGCGGAGGAGCAAGGCCACCGATGCGCGGCTGGCCGAGGCGTCGGCCGCACGAGACCCCGATCCCTGTGCCCAGACATCCTGGCTCTGGACAACTGTCCGCACTCCGTTCGGCGCTTCCTTTGCGCGGCGCCAGCCTTGAACGGGCAGTTTTTGCGGCGGCGACCGTGTGGCCAGGGCGTCCCGCTGAAGGGTCCCTGGCCGTCCGCGCCAGGGCGCCCAACTCCGAAAAAACAACTCCACCGGCACGCGAACGCCTCAATTTCTTGGTCGCGCCATGCGACTCTCTCCCGTCGACGCTCGCTGCCCCCAGGCCCCCTCGCGTCGTGACGCTCCTGACGACGGGACGGCTTTGAGATGCTTCGGGCTGTGAGGAGCCCTCACAGGGCCCCAGGACCGTCAACTGGCGGCGTGCACAAGGGGGTGGTGGGAAGGGGGAGGGCTTCTTAGAAGCAATCTGCTTCTTAGAAGGCGCCGGCCTTACATCTATAGATAAGGCCCGCGCCTTCTGAGAAGCAGGGGTGCTTCTAAGAAGCCCTCTCCCCTCCCCCCACCCCCTTCTGCGCGTGGCTGAGTCAACACAAACAGCTCGGGATGACAAGCCGGTCCCGGGGAAAGGGTCCAGACCTCTGGGGGCCAACGTTAGGAAGCAACAGACAAACACGATGTCGGCGGTCTGGCGCCCTCGTTCCCGGCGAGAGCTCCGAGGAAGAGCCGGGCCGCGGCAACGTGAGACACCTAGAGGCCCCAGAAGGGCCACACCCAAGGAACGAATCACGGATGCGATCCTCGATCACTGATCCCCGCTGCCTCCCCTCCCCCTCTGGATCCTTTCCCGGCCACAGCGCCCGAGTGGCCTGGGCAAGGGCTCACCTGCGGCGGGGAAGGGACATGCGTCACCACTCCGCGTCTCGTTCTGCGGCGAGCGCGGGCTTGGCGCCCCCTCGCGCGCCCGTGGCCTGGCCTGACCACCATCGCCTCCTCGCCGATCCGCCCGAGGTGGGGCCGACCTGGGCCCCGATGCCCAACGGCCCCGACAGAGTGGGGTTGGACTTGGTAGTCCCCAAACGCGCGTGGTGGTGACAATACCTGGTGGTGAGTCTCGGGCGATTTGGTGTCACCACCAGGTTTGGGGACCCGTGCGGTTTTCCGAGGATGTCCCGGACACTGGTGGGTCCAGGAGTCACAAAACCCGGTGGCGACCCCGCGTCCCCAAACCCAGCGGTGACCTTCTTGGGGATTCCAGGTCGCCACCTGGTAGCTCACCACACGGTTTGGGGGTTCCCAATGGACGAAGGGGGGGGACAGCAAAGGTCGGGTCGGGCGAAAGGGGGGGATAGCAAAGGGCGGGGTTGAGAATCAGCTCACATAGCTGATTTTCCCGGCGCCTCCCAGCGCCGGAGGCGGCCATGTATCGAGGAATGGGCCCCTCGGTGAGGCCGAAACCAGCTGCATGCAGCAAATTCCGTAACCCCCCCTTTCCCAATCCCCCCCTTTCGCCCGGCCCGAGAAGGGGGAGGGGACAGCAGAGGGCGGGGGCCAGGCAGCCAGCCTCAAGGGCGCCCGATATAGCGAGGCCGCCCGCTCTCCTGGGCGGCGAGGGCCCCCGGGCTCCTCTCTCTGCGATGGGAGGGGCGGCCGGGGGTCGATGGCATCCCCGTGAGCCTGAGTTGAGGAGGGACCGACCGACAGTCCCGGCATTTCTGCAGTCCTACCACGAAATGTTTGTTAGAACCACAAACTGCTCAAGAACAAAAACAATGTTCTTCGAGCATAAACCCGAACAAGATCCGCATAAACAATGCGGATCTTGTTCAAAATGAACCAGATCCGCTGTTGGGCATAGTACCCATTCTTTCAGTACCCATTTCGGGCGTCCAGACCCGTGAGCCTGAATTGAGGAGGGACCGACCGACCGTCCCGGCATATCTGCAGTCGCACCACGAAACGTTCTCAGAACCACAAGCTGCTCAAGAGCAAAAGCAATGTTCTTCGAGCATAGACCCGACGTGTTGAAGCAAGACGGTCTCGGCCAGAAAGGTTCCAAGAACACGTCGTGCAAGCCACAAAAGGTTCTCAGGACATCCTTTGGTTGGCCTATAGGCAGGCCGAGACCCTTCGCCACTGCTTGACATGCGCGCCGCCGGCGCCAGCTTGATGCACTTCCCAGCATTAGCTCTGGCCTGTCCCCCTACAGCCGGATTTTGGGAGAGAAATTAAAAATATAGCCAAAAACCCAGAACTTAGCAAACAAAATAACCAGAAAACCAATCGCCCCAAGCACATGTTTGACGATTTTTGAATATCGCTCTTGTAGAGGGCCAGGCCCGACTTCATCCCAGCAGCGCGCGGACAGCCCCCCCCCCGAGCTCGCGTTGCAGAGGCGGGGCCTCCGGCGCGCCGAAAAACTTCTGGTTGATGTAGAGCTGGCGGCGCGGGCGGCAGGTCGGCGGTGGATAAAAACCTCCCTTTAGTAAACCTCCCCTCAGCGAAAACGGCCTGGGACCGAAACCGACGGACCTTGACCCGCAAAAGCGACGGCCGCGGCGCCCTCTCGCGAACCGAAAACGGCCAATTCCTTAATCGACGTGTCAGGGCAGGAGATCGATCCACCTCCGAGCAGGGGCGGCGGCGCGCGGCGGACGGGCAAGGGGGCGGGGAGGCCAGGGCGCGGCAGCAGCGGCAACGCCTGACCGCCCGCCCCGAGAAAGCTCCGGAGAATGAGCCAAGGATTCGGAGGAGGAGGAGGGGGAGGCGGAAACGGAGGAGCGGGGAGGAGGCGGAGGAGGAGGAGGCGGAGGCGGAGGAGGAGGAGGAGGAGGAGGAGGAGGAGGAGGCGGAGGCGGAGGAGGAGGAGGAGCAGGAGGATGAGCAGGACGACGACGACGACAGGATCGCAGAGGGGGGGCCCAACGAGCCGACAGGGCCGAGGACACCCACGTACAAGCAACCTGCGCCAAGTCTCCGCCCTCCGCCCCGCTGCACCGGCAGGGGCGGGCATGGGGGGCTGTGGCCCCCCAGAGCCTTCTCGCCTGGCGCGGGGCGAGACACGGCCGGCAGGAGATGCCCGCGACGCCAGCGGAGAAGCAGTAGAGAACACGTTCGGAGAACCGGCCTCGAACTTGTCCCTGTCCCTGAGGTGGGCGAGCAAAAAGCGAGGACTACCTTAGGGATGTGCCCTCAGAAACTGAGGGGAGCCTTAATCGGGAGCGGCCAAGAGGGGGATGTCCAAGAGGGGGGCGTGCAAATCATGACCGGCGGCACGCGCCCGGCCCAGCGGGGGGGCCAGGGACGTAATGAAATACTAAGAAGAGGCGCCATGAAATCTGGGGAAATATCATGGCCCCCGCCATGATATCCACCCCCCCCTTGTCATCACCCCCCTCTTTGCCGCCCCCGACTCGAGATCGGCATCGAGGTGAGGTGATGCCAAGCACAGGGATAGGGATCTGTTTCAAACTGGTCGGAGGAGGCAACTCCTGGGAGGCCTTCGCTGGATCGACGAAGGGCCATCAAGCCCGACGGAGGTGCCGCTTCGCGGGTCAGGCTGGCTCATAAGCGGGCTCAAGCGGGATGAAGCCATGAGGGGCAACGATAGGGGGGGCTGGCATAGGGGGGGATGCATCGACCTGGAATCGGCGATACATCGCCAATAGATCGGCGATAGGCCTGCGATAGTGAATCCGCACCTTCCTGGGCAGGTTGGGGCTATCGGGCCCCTATCGGCGATCAGGGGGCGATTGGGGGTCGATGTATCCCCCCCTATGCCTATCCCCCCCTATCGCTGCCCCTGAAGCCAGAAGCCAGAACAGCCCAGAGTAAGCCTGTCACCGACCGCGAAAATACCGGCGCCGATACAGAATGTAGGCTCCCAGGGGCTACATCCTGAGACACGTGGGCGTTGCCGAATGGGGGGGCGATGCCGTCTTCTCCACGGCAGCAAGGCAGGGGAGGAGGAGGCGTCCGCTGCCCCTCAAGAGTGCCACCCCAGAGGCGCATCCCCCGGGCGGGATCGGCGGCAGGGCGGCGAAGGCAAACGCCTGGAGAGGCTCCGGGGCTCGGGGGACTGGCGGAGCAAGAAACCAGGGGGCGACAGACACGATTACGGCTTTGCCCCCAATACGTGCATGGCAAACTGGGTTTCCTGCACGTCCCGTTCGGCACCGCCTGATCCCCGGGCTTCGCCGGCTTCTGGCCGCGTGAGGCCCCGCCTGCTCCCGCCCCTTCTCTGCCAAGAAGTAAAGCTGTGCGCGTCCCGCGGAGCTTTTCGCGGAA